TTTATGGAACTGAATTGGCTGAAAACTCAATGGGTTTTGGTCGACAATAGTTCTAACTGGGGCAAAGGGAGAGGGAAAAAACATAACATAATTTTCTGAAATGAATCCTGCCTTTTGTTATTTTGATAGTCTTATAGTCTCCAATGTCATTTGTTTGAAATAAAGCAACCATTTATGAGCTGCTTCTGGTTTGTAGTTGTTGGTGCAGCATGATTCAAATATTTGGTCAACACAGGGGCATTTTGGGACACACAGTTTAGAAATTCTCTGAAAGCTTCAAGGTCAGTGTTAATGTAAATTATTGGCGTTATTTTTTCTTGCTCGACTAAATAAAAGCCCAATTGATTGATTTAGTCGACTAAACACTTTATAAAATGTGTTTGACCTACGCTTTATTCACAAAACTTGTGGCATAAAGACTCAAGTATTGAATAAAGTACAGTTCACCGAGTGATGATTTAGCTTGAATTTCAAAGTCATTACCAACATATTTAAGTTTCTCAATGGCTTCTGATTGCTGTTTTCTCATAGAAGTCCAAGCAATTCAGATACAATTATATTTTTGGCGTACAAAGAAATGAATTTAGTTGTGTTGTAAGTCCTTGTATGTCATTTTTGATGTTCAATCTTATCCTTGTCCAAGCAATCGACCCATATGTCATGATTACCTGCGGACACTTTGGAACCGTGGCTCTCCACAATGCCTCCAAGATGTTTTTCAAGTGCACCGAACTCCTGACATTGCCCATTGTGTCTTTTTGGGCTTGGACAGTTTGCAATAAAACATTTCCCAAATCCTCTCACAACTTGGCCTTATCTCGCAAATCGTCTTCTGCTCTCAATAGCAAAGTACTTCTCAGTTTTTGCCAACATTAGCCTTGAAAACTTATTCCGAATGATTCCTCCGCCAGGCCCACAGCTCTTCTCTTCATTCCCCCTTATTTTTTTTAAAATAGCACAATCCATTCTTGAAGCTTCATTTCTCGTTGATAGTGTGCAGAGTTATGAGTTTTGATCAAGAGGCTCTAGGCGTGCGATGGAGTTTGGATTGAGTCTGGCAGGGCTTGTTGCCACTGTCTTCTATTCTTCTATGTGCAGTTCACCGTGTTTTCGCCTCATTACAGAAAGCAATAATGCAGTGAAGTCAAAAGAGCCGCGGAGTGAAGGAGGGAGCAAAACAAGACTGCCTTTTTTATTGGATTAATTAGAAGCCTCGCAAAGACCACCTGCAATAGACGCAAAACACCAGCCAGGCAAAAATTCATATCTTCGTCTGTTCCGTCAACCAAGTACAAAACCCAAATTTTTTTAGCCGGAGGTAATTGATCTTTGAAATGACGGAGGAAGCTCTGTTTGTACTCTGAAAAATACTGGAGGCGTTTGATTGGAGCGCGATGTCCCTGCCTGCCTGTGTAATCACTAAATATTTAGCATTCAAATCTCAGTGCATGTAACATATGGTAAATATCCAAATTGTCCCGTCCAATATCAGACTGCTGCCTCAGTGGTGTCTTTCATCTCGGTAATGATTTGCTGCAAATATGATGGAATTCAGCACATTGTGAATAATGATTGATTTGTTTAATGCTATGAATTTGTTCATTAGGACGTAATGAGCTATTGCATTGTGATTAGTCGATGGATTCGGTGTCGATACATGCCAAAATAACAAAGTAAAGTCCAACTAATGGCTTTTCGATTACTCACTTTCTTGTACAAAATGTCAAAGCAGAGTTTTGTGACACAGAAATCCAACAGTCCAAGGTTTAAGAAGCTTTCCATATAAATATATTATTAGTGGCAATCCCTAATATTGAAAGTGTCTTTCAAATAGTTTAATAATTTATAAGGTTACAATTAGAGCGCAGCACATATAAATCCCTTATGCATTTATGATGCATGCTAATATTGATAAGAGAAAAATGAACTGAGCACATTCAAATGCGGACTGAAATACATTTCCATTGTGTTACAGATACCACTTATAATTAAGCGGAGGCTCGCAGAGAATGGGAATAGAGAGTGGAATGTATTAAGAGAAACACATTACAGTGGTGTTTCTGAGGTGCACGTGGAGCTTTAGTGAATATTAAAGCACCAACACAAAGGCAACAGCTGAAGCTTCATGAGAAAACGCTAAAGGAAGTGATTGTGGTTTTAGAGGTATCAGAGGAGCCAATGGTTTTAATGAGACAGCAGAGTGTTCATGCCAGGAAATGATAAGGTTATACAGGTTTGAATAACAGCACACCTACCATACCCAGACAAGTGCACCACAGCATGGCAGGCACACCGAGTCCTGTGACAGACAGAAAGGCTTCTCCAAATAGTGGTAAGAATGTTGTTAGAAAGTGCATCTGAGTTGTCGACTATATGTACATATGATTTGGCAGTGCAGTGTTAACACGCGGATGTTAGCAGTGTAACAGTATAACAGCGCACAGACTTGTTAAGCCTTTTGTGGGCAGCCGTTTGATGAAACACACCCACTGTGTCTTTTGGAGGACATTCTCTTATAGAGCTGTTGTTACAGGCTGTGTGTGTGTGTGTGCGTCTGTGTGTGTATGTGTGTGTGTGTGTGTGTGTGTGTTTGTCTCATTCCCATGCATATGTGTGGATATGAGCAGAGGGGGATGTCACATAAGAAATGTCCTTTTTAATCAGGGGAAAAAATATAAAATGACTCGGGAGCAAGGCGAGCATATTAATGTGTCTCATTTGCATACGCTCGTCAGCCAGGATACGTTTATAAAAAAACACAAACTGGATTCGTCAGTTCATTTCACAGTATTCCATTGTCTATCTGCCTTTGTTATATGTTAAAGATAAAGGCAGAAATCAAATTGAAGAAAAGGGCAAGCTGCTATCTCCCTAAATGAGCAACAGCTCATCAGCCTAGTTTAAATCACAGATTTCTATTCCAAAAGGCAGCCAGCCGCCTCTGTAAAAAAGGGTCTATTCAAATCAGTTCTCTCCTGATATAGGAAGGCTGCTGATAGAGCTGGTGTCACATAAATACAATTTAGAACCTTGAGTCATTTGGATCAGTCTAACTAAGTTTCACCCTTTTTGCCAACAGTAATTTTACAGACTATGTTCTACTCTATTGTATCTTTTTGATTATTAACTTCTACTTCAATGACTAAAGAATTATTCAATTCACTTGAGAATGAGATATGAAGATAAGCCATGAATTCAAGCTTTTCCTGGCATGTCATACAATAAGTCGCTGGCTATACCGAACATAGCATGGCCATTATATTTGAGATGCATTGAGTTCAACTGCTTTATGATACTTGTGGCAATTTCAAAGGGCAACCCACAAGTGTCACATTCCTTCAGACAGAAGTGGAAGCTGTTACAGTGTCTAATTCATGCCCTAGAGATAAGAATCCAACATGGACTGTGTGTTGGAGGGGACAAGGTCTAACAGAACAAGCTCCCCTTATGTCTACTAACCTCCCACTGATGGTGAGAGGGGGAGAAATGAGAGAGAAATGTCAAATGAATGTGAAAACAAATGGATAAGACACATGGGCCAGTTACACTGGAGGAGTAAGAAGATGGACAAGAGGAGGTCTGGTCAGACCTGCCCTGTACTCGCAATGTGACTGTGTGGGTGTGATCAAGTCCTCTATTAGGGATCTCTTATCGAACACTTTCTTTTCAAAGTGAACACACCTCCTTTACATCTTCTTGGTTCTTACAATAATAGATTTTTGTTCATTATAATCATGCAATATAGCACTGTTGCTGCAACTGCTGCCAGGACGCATACTAATCAGCTTAATGAGATATTATACAATATTTTGTTGACCAACGCAGAACTGCGGTTATTATTTCTGTGGGCTTGACCCCTGCCAGCAGCCAGAGGAAGTGTGCACATACAAGTATACCTCTCCATCTGGAGAGCAGATGGAACTGTATTAAGGTCGTTGTTCTTTTATTTAAGCACATATGAAAGAAATCACATTTACAGCCGTTAATCTCTGCTCATTATACATTTGTGTTGCCGATCTCTGTTTGTGGTTGGGTACTACAAACATCTGCTGCTTTCTATACTTTAGAGTTTACCAGGCTGTAAGTTCAGCAAGAACCCAAACTTAGAGCTTTGAGTATTCCCAAACTAAATTTAGCAGTGTACGATAAAGTTGTGTAAATGAGGATCAGAAAGGGGTTTCAAATCATGCTTGTCTATGATGCATTGTAATGCAGTATTACAGTGTTAGAGAGTCACCTCTTGTGCCATTGTTAAGATCATAATTTTAGTATTGTTGTGGCATTCCTGACAGAGCGGTTGCTTTATTTCATTAAGGCGTGTAATTGGAGGAATTCTGATTGAATAGGTGCAAGTTACACTGCACACCATGCTTACTAAGTAATTGTGTCTAAATTGCACCCATGTTATTATTATATTATATTATATTATATTAACACATATATTATTGTATTGTTTTTAGTGTACCCAGTGTTTCCTCTGGAGGAGCCCTCTGCACCGGGAGCAGTGGTCGGTGTGGCTGCGGGGGTCGGACTCTTGGGCCTGGTGGGGGCCTGGGGCCTCGGTTTCATGTCTCCTCTGGGTCCTGTGTCGTCCCCTGTGGCTACGGGCGGCTCTCTGCTCCTGGTGCAGACGGCTCCTTGGATGACGCTTTTTCAGCTGGTTGCATCTGAACCCTGCCAAGTCTCTCATCATGTTTTTATTGTTTTACTGGTGTGTGTGTGTGTGTGTGTGTGTGTGTGTGTATGAGTGTTCATGAGCGCGTGTGTGTGTGTTTGTCGGTGGTTTGGGGGGGGTCTGTTGGGTGGTCTGGGGGAGGGGTCTTGGGTCGGCGGGATTGTTTTTAACCAATCTGTAAAGCACTTTGTGTTGCATCTTATGTATGAAAAGCGCTTTATAAATAAAATTTGATTGATTGATTGATTATGAAAGTTGCATGGACAATTTGTCTTTTTTTGCATGACGTAACCCTGTGCTTTTCTTCTCTGCTTGTTGTTGCAGGATGGAAGACTCGAGTTTGTGCCTTGGTGTGTCATCAGGAGTCCCTGATGCAGAAGCCCATCTCAACAGTGCAGTTTTAAATGGACGCTATCCCATCAGTCAGAAGCTTCACCAGCTCACTGCCCAACTAGGCCACGCCTTCCCCAGCCTACATCGCCCACAACCAATCCCTGAGGAGAAGGCAGCCACGCCTCTTGATGAGAAGACCCACCACACTGCCCTGGCCAGTCAGCCTATCAGCAGTCAGATGGCACTTTTGGCCAATCAGCTTAATCGAGACATTGATGCAGGAGCCTTAAGTGGGCTGAATGGTCGGGTTGATTTGCAGCAGTTTCTCAATGGCCAGAATTTGGGCATTATGTCCCAAATGAATGACATTGAGGATGATGCCCGCAAGAACAGAAAGTATCCCTGTCCACTGTGTGGTAAGCGCTTTCGCTTTAATAGCATCTTGTCTCTGCATATGCGCACTCATACCGGAGAGAAGCCCTTTAAATGCCCCTACTGTGACCACCGAGCTGCTCAGAAAGGTAATCTGAAGATCCATCTCCGCACCCACAAGTTGGGCAACCTGGGGAAAGGCAGAGGCCGTGTGCGGGAGGAAAACAGGCTCCTCCATGAGCTGGAGGAGAGGGCCATTCTCAGAGACAAACAGATGAGAGGTAGTGGAAGCATCATTCCAACTCCCCCCACACCCCTCATGGGCCTCAACAATAGCACCACCCATCAGCCACAGCTTGGCTCAGCCTGTGGTCTGCTTCCACCTTCAGGCATGGGCACTCCAGAGACCCTCTCCCAGCCCTCCTCTTCACCAAAGCCCACCGGAGCCTTGGACGATCCGCTGAACCCAGCCACCGGCTTCCGCTGCACCTTCTGTAAAGGCAAATTTAAGAAGAAGGAAGAGTTGGACCGACACATCCGTATACTCCATAAGCCTTACAAATGTACCTTGTGTGAGTTTGCAGCCTCTCATGAAGAAGACCTGATAAGTCATGTAGAGAAGGCCCACATCACAGCTGAATCTGCAGCAGGGGCGGGGTCAGGTGGAGTTGGGGGAACGCAAGTTGCCAATGAGTTTCGCTGTGAGGTGTGTGGACAAGTCTTTAGCCAGGCCTGGTTCCTAAAAGGCCACATGCGCAAACATAAGGATTCCTTTGAACACTGCTGTCAGATCTGTGGCCGACGATTCAAAGAACCCTGGTTTCTTAAGAACCATATGAAAGTGCATCTGAACAAGCTTGCTATCAAGAATAAGCCCCCACAGCCCAATGAGCAAGATATGGTTTCAGTGAATAGTATGAGCAATCTAGCTCAGGAAGCCCATGCTAACCTCTACTCTCGCTACATCTCCTGTCTGCAAGGAGGGTTCCTTTCACCTGAAAAGCAGGGCCTGAGTGAGCAGCACCAAATGTTGGCTAAAGCCGGAATCGCTATGAAAGAAAAAGAGATGTTGGGCAAACTCCTGGGGCCAATGGCAGCTGGAATGGGCCATGGGCTAGATGAGAATGAAAAGCGTTCCCTCCTGGGTTGTCTTAACCTGGTGCCCCCTCTCAAGTCCAGCTGCATGGAGCGCCTTCAGGCTGCTGCAAAGGTGGCAGAAATGGATTCTATCAACAATTATCAGGCCTGGCAGCTGATGGCTCGTGGGATGGCAATGGACAGAGCCTTCATGCCAAAGGAACAGCATCCCCATCAAATGCACTCGGGGCAGGAGGATGAGAATGCTGGATCAATGACTTCCTATTCAAAAGACAAACCAGACTACTCCATGATTATTTCAACTGATAGCTCCAAACAAAAACTGTCTGAGGCCCTGCAGGGATCCAAGCTTGGCAGTGGAGCTCTGATGTCCCTGAAAGAAGACAGCAGAAACTTTGATGGTCACCGTGACCTTCTGTCACATCACGGTGAAGCACATACCGGCCTAACTGGTTTAGGAGGTCCCCACTTAGACTTTGGCATTTCCAACATGAAGGACAAACCCACAGAGTGTCCTGATTGTGGCCGAGTCTTCCGCACCTACCACCAAATGATTGTCCACTCGCGCATCCACGGCAAGGACCGCAGAAGCATGGAGGAGGCCCTGGACGAGCGCCGCGGTTCAGCCAGTGACCCAGAGTCCCAGTCCATCAGCCGCTCCACCACGCCAGGCTCGTCCAATGTGACCGAGGAGAGCGCCATGGGAGGGGCTCATTCACAGACAGGCAGTGTCCAGGATGACAGCCCACACCCCTCGTCCCCATCTTCAGGTATGACACACATTCAGGTGTGATCACAACTTTCAGGCCTTCTTCAATCTCAAAGACCAGGTTAGAACGTAATATTTATATACCTGGGAACCTGTACACTTTTTACAAATACACTACTTTCACTTGCAGTCTACACACAGGTTTTTGAAGATTCCAATTCTCCTGCAATTACTCATGAGCCTTATTAACTTAAATGGACTCGCCCCAGCAAGACAGCTACCTGCTTTGGCATTGCATCCACACTGCAGGTTAGCGGCTTATGTCCCCCCGGAACATGAGTAAAGACTAGGAGCAGAGGGACCTTCTCATTTTAAGCAGAGTGATTAATAAATGCCTTTAATAAATGCGTCGGAGACAGTTCTTCCCTTTTCCTCCCTCCCTCCTCCTCTCTCCAGCAAACACGGGCCGGCTGGGGCTAGATAAGTATATGTTTAGTGGGATTAAGGGAGGCTCGTTGCTAATGATTACACAAGTTTTTAAAGGTAACTTTCGCTCGCTCCTCAGGGCACCGCGCTGCCGTTAAGAAGCGCGAGCGGTAATTAGGTCACGACTGTGCGATAATCAGTCGGTTTAAGCTAAACAAGACACTAATTAAAGATATACATATAAAGCAGGTCAAAAAGAAAATCAGCGAACTTCTTTTGCAAAAGCGGCTATGTGCTTTTAAGTCTTTTGAGAGGGGAAAATATAAATAATATAAATATAAATCAGAGGCTTAGCTTAAGGCTGTAAGCAACTTAATTCCACCAGTGGAGACGGGATTGTTTATTTATCCACAGAGGCATGAAGTCCTTATCGTGCCCGTGTAGTGTGATGGGTTTGAACATAGGATGGGCTATGTTTATTTTAATCTAAGAAATAATAACAGACAACCCCCACCCCAATTAGGAATTAATGAAAATGAGAACGAGATAAAAACCTATTTTCTTTATAGAGACTATTAAACATAACACTTTCTCAACAGGGTGGGGGTGTAGCGGATGTAATTATCTTCTGAATTTTAATGCTGCAACTTTCCCTCTCTCTCTCTCTCCATTCCATTCTCTCTCCTTCAGTCAGTCTGTCTCTTTTGACTTAAGCGCTTTGAATCTGATCAGAACGGCGACTTCAGAAGTGCTGTGTTAACATCCAGTCAAATAAACGCGAAGAGAAGACCAAAATAAGCGGGTTAAAATAATCATCTGCGGATAAATAAAAAAGCAAATGTGTTTTTTAAAGAAGCAAATGTTAACAGAGTATAATGAGGCACGTTTGATTTAGCTTTAAGTGGTGAAATCCTCTCCCTCAGGCGTCGTCTTGAAGCAAGGAGTGAAGGATTAAAGCAACAACATGGGATAAAACAAAGAGTAATGTCTAAATTGTGATTCATGACGTGGAGTCGTTTGCGCAGTTCATAAATTGCAATGTATTCTGACACACTGCTTGTTGAATTTTTATACATATGTATTTTGTGTCATTGTGTGCCGTCTGTCCATATGATTGTTTTAAAGTTCAAAGTAAGGCAACGGTTTACTAATGAATTTCCTGTTTGATAAAAACTAAATTTAATCCCTTCTTGAGCAAATTCTCCAATCTGCTGTTAACAATATGTGCAGAAACTTAGTGAACATTTTAACCTGATTCCCTTACAAATAATCAGCTAACCTACTTCTATCCTTTTCTAATATTTCCCGATCTAAATCCTTATTATACGTGAAAATCCTGTTGTTTCACTGTTTACATGCCTCTATAAACCTATTGTATATAATCAATGCAAATAGAGCATTCTGCATGTGAAGTCAAATATGATCCTTTTTTTTTCAATTCAATGGTACTTTTGTGGAAACTTAAAACATTTTTTTGTCTTATACAATTGACGTGACAAGATGTGAAACAAAACTAAATGATTTAAAAGCATGAGATCGTCTTTTGGCCCGGTTGTTCTGCTCTGAGTAAATGATAAATATTCCTCCTATAGTTACTAATCAACTGAAACTCCCCATCATTTAAAACCCAAGCCTCGACAGTGTCACCCACTGTCCAAATCTCTACAAACAATCTTTGAAATCCCCTTTTTTGATCTGACAAATTGCACCAAATAATGAGATGCTTTGCAGATCTCAAACGTCCCCAATGCGGTTGTTTTGAAATTTAAAGAGTAAACAGATATGAAAATGAAAAGACTCTCCAATATGCTTGTTTTTGCTACTTCCTGTTTTTTTGTCAAGTAGTGTGTGGGGGAAAAAAAAACTTGTCTTTTCTTCACAACTTAGACAATGTGATTTTCGTTCGGGGCTCAGGGACTCTCAAATTAGAAAGCTTTGATGTGTGAGAAAAATGTGTTTGAATCTCATGCAGAGTAAGGTGCCATAGTTCTAGTCTAGTTTGTAGCGTTTGTGGATGGAATAAGAAAAGAATAGCTACTTTAAATAGTGGTAAATAGTAAATCTTACTGTTAGTCTGGCTATTAGCTACTTCTTAAGTTCTGGTCTATGTCAGCAGGTCCTACGATTCATCATACTTACTTTACAAGGACGGATGCACTGTAAAAAAAAAAAAAAAAAAGTAAACAAAGGGGAGAGAAAAAGCTGTTGAAACCACACAGGGATATTATGAAACAACTACATTTGCAACTTTTTTCTCACAACCCATATCACATAAGGCATAACTCATAAGCATTCAAATCTACATATACTTAAAAAATACCATTAAAAAAAACATTAAGATCACAAGAAATATTAAAAACATAGAATGTAAAATCACAGATGGAATTAAAAACCTTAAAACATTAAAATCACACGTAGGATTTTAATCATAAATAGTCACAGTGCGTTCAAAAAGAAAAGATAAATAAAATACATGGATACAAAAAACAGCTTAATATAGTGAAAAACGTGTTGAAACCATGACATTAATTCGGTAAGGTAAGCTATATACGTTACATGCAATTTTGGATGTTGATGCTCGGCTTGGTCCGGACCAGAGCTGGAGGATTTGAACTATTGTACACGTTTAAAGTGGTAGGGGGGAAACTGGAGGAGACTTACACAAACACAGGGAGAACATGCAAACTCATAAAGGCCCTGTCTGGAGGTGGAATCAAACCCCAGAACTTTCTTGCTGAGAATTGATAGGGCTCGAGTCATTCTTTCATTCATTGATTGATACATTTTGGACTAAAATCCTCATAACGCTAACCAAACTATCCCGATCCTACAATGACATACAGTATTATAACAATAGACAGACTCTTTAAAGATATGTCCGACCTCAAGTAACTTTAGTTCTCACTAATGTGCAATGTGCAGTTTTTTTCTTCTTGTATAATCTGCAGGATGTGGTGACTGTACTGCTTTATCTCATCTCAACATGTCTCCTCTTCTTTCTTTCTCACAATTTCTCCCTCCTTCAATCTCTTGCTGAAAAATATAACAATTCCGCCAATGGGTATCTGCGTGCACCTGCTAACCACGGCACATGCACCGCGCCGCCATGCCACCTACCCACGGCGCTTCTGAGTTAAACTTAAATTATAGTAATCAACAATAACATCTCAACTGTGAAAGAAGGTCAACTCCGCCGCTTTTGTCTTTGAGACGGCACTTGTTTAAAAGCAATGAGCGAAAAAAGGAGAAAAGATACAAGAAAAATGGTGAAGGGAAGGCAGGACTGTGTCAGCAATGTCCTCCAAAGACCTTTTTCTATTATAACGTGGTGCGGTGGCTAACCTTGAACGTGTTTCATATTCTTTTTTGAAGGAAAACAAAAGGATAATTACGTTTATGCACGCCGTCCTCTGTCTTTTTGTTTGTTATCCTCAGATCAACCCGCTATTATCATGATCAGGGCGACTGGAATCATTGCACATGGCTTGTTTGTGGGTTTAAGGTAGATGCAATTCAGTTTATTTATTTTTTGTGTAGTCCCAACGGTAGTTATCTCAGAGGACTTTACAAAGTTGACGATTTGCCAACACAGATCAAACCGTTCAAACACAAAGAGCGACCGATGTTCATAAATGTCGTTGAATGTTGAATGTCTTGGATCATCACTGTTCTTAGACACTCCTGAATTGACAAGATAAAACTCTGAAAAACCAAGTGGGACGGGCTATGGGCTCTGTGCACGCACCACTTCCTCGTTTTAGCTACTATCCCACTTAACTTCCTGTTCGCGGGAAACGGCTTGAGTTTCACTGGAGTTCAGCAGTGGTTTACACAAGTTTCCCAAATAATGCTCAAACGGGAATTAAACTGTGAGGATACTGGGCATTTTTAGGACACAGCAGTGCTCTCTGATTGTGCTGTCATTGTGTTTTTATAAAGTTTACAAATCTCTCTGAGTGGCCACAGTCAAAGCTCTACCTCAGAGAGAAAGCACAGCGACACTTTTGGGTCAGTCTCACAGCTGAATGTATCAATCTAATTACTAAAAAACGTCACTAAAACCCAGCTAAAAGCCATAGGATAGCCTAGGCAGGAAGTGAACGGGCTGTGCTTTGTTAACAGGAAATGACGTGACGCCTCCCCGTGCATATAGCCCATAGATCCAGGACTCACAATCCAGGAGTGAGGCGGCTCCAGGGCGAGGAGGGGGTGGAGCCTGTTGCCGGGATTATGTATTGTATGTGGTTCCTAACATTTGGGCTATCATTTGAAAATCAACAGGCCTATGTGTGATTTTGAGAGAATAAAAACAACAGAATTTCACAGAACATTCCAAAAACAAAAAGTAAAAAATGAAAACAGATTTAACATGTATGCATTTTAAAGTCATTACAGAAAGATTTGTCCATATTTATTTTTGAACAATACAGATTTGAATAAGATCAAGTGATTTGTGAATATGGGTTGGCCCAATGACAGTTCATGCAAAGGAATATAAATCACACGCAGTCATTTAGTGCAATTTAGATTGAAACTCATTACTGTAACGTAACAACATTTACATATTCACAGTGAAAACAAGACAAATATGACATTTGAAATAGCTTATGTGATCCTTTGGAAGCAGTCATGCCC